GTATGACCCTCCTTCTTAAAATGATAACACTTAATAGTAGGAGTATTACCACCATAAGAATTCTGTAGAACTTTACCCTTCTTCTTCTTCTTCTTCTTCTCAAACCTACCATCTTTCTTCAAGAATTTCTCCTTAACGGATAAACCTTCACCAACAGAAGATGACTTGTCCTCCATTCATTCATTCAAATCTTTAGAGTACAAGGCAAATTGAAAATCTTCAAAGGTTAACGACTCTCTTCCATACACGATAATTTCTTTGAAGTGAACATGAGACTTATGTAAAGGGCACAACAACTACAACGCTTAATTTTTATCATTAATCTTGACCTCGATATTCTCAAGATCAAGAATCAACTTGTTGAACATAAACAACCGCTCAGCTAGGGCTTTGTCTTCACTCAACTTGAATGAATACAAAGTTTACTTCAAGCAGAGAAGATTAACCAACGATTTTGTCATGTACAAACCTTCAAGTTTCATCCACACACCAGCTGCAATTTTCTCCTTTGAAACCTGCCAAAGAACCTTATCACCAAGGCTCAATATAATGACAATATGGGCTTTTTCAACCATGGTTGTCTTCTCCTTCTCCGACAAGGCATTATCAATCTTCTCTGATCCTTTCAACGCTTCTAATAAACCCTGTTGAATGAGAAGGGCTTGCATCTTCAAGCGCCACAAACCAAAATCATTCACATCGGTAAATTTCTCAATCTCATACTTTGTTGACGACATCTTCTTTTCCACGCTCACCACACGAGTTTGTTGTGAATTGATATCGTCTAGAATAAACCAAAATATGATAAAAATATTGAATTTCTTGAACAAACAGAAGAAATCCTATTAGGTTTTACAAAAGATAGAAAAGAAGGAAGAAGAAAAATAAGAATGGTTTAAATCTATTTTACTATTTACTTTCTCAACAAGGGTTCAAAGATTATAAGTGAATACCAACAATTAACCTCTCTCAACAACCTAAGAGAACTAGTCTATTTATAGACTACTAAGCTAAATTAGGCTATAAGCTAACTTAACAATTGAGTTTACAAGCAAGAACCAATTCGACATGCTAACTTAAACACAAAGCTAACATATTTCGACAACATGCTTGAATAGACTTTAACTACAACATGCACAACTCCTGTCGAACTATGAAGCTACCTTTGTCGACACCGGAGTTCGATCCAAATACCTCAGAGGTTGCGAGATGCAACGATGGACTTAAGCTTCTGATGTGGTGAGAAAAAAGATGACATACACGGTTAACACTGCAACGCTCAAGTCAGTATATGAGTAAGATTAGTGAGTGCATTTTGGATTTGAATTGTATACCTGAAAATGATGCGCTTCTCCTTTATATAGTGAGACAGTTATAACAACCCACTATTCTTCAGACGTAGAATACGGGGAGCCACTGGATGGATCCTAGATCCATATACCTTGCGCTCTGCTCCAAGATAACCAGTGACGAATCTTGTGTAAAATGTTCGGGGGAACCGTTACTATCAATTAAAATATTATAATTAAAATTTGACATAATTATATATAACTTTTTTAAAATTCAATATATATATATATATATATATATATATATATATATATATATATATATATATATATATATATATATATATATATATATATATATATATATATATATATATATATATATATATATATATATATATATATATATATATATATATATATATATATATATATATATATATATATATATATATATATATATATATATATATATATATATATATATATATATATATATATATATATATTTGAAATTGAATGAAAGTTTAGAATTTATATGTCTTGTTCTAAAGAAAGACTTCAATGTTATGGCTAGTTTGTTAAGGAGATTTTTTTTATCCTTGACTTGACAATCAATAGATATGGTTAGTTTGTTAACTTATACAATTTATTGTAAAGTTTGTTAATTTTGACCTATTATAAAAAATAAGTGGTTGTCATTTCAACTTATAGTTAAGTATGGGTTGTTTTCTACCAAGAGTTTTTGAGATTTAATTCTTTTGATTGCAAAATATGACTCCATCTTATCACAATTATAAACAAATTTGATTTTTTTATACATGAGGACTATATACTATATTGACTAGATACATAAGTTAATAGTAACCACAAGCCGTACAAATAATGTTATTATTATAATAAATATAATATAATAGGTACTTTGAGTTTAGATATACATAAGTTTTAAAAGGCATTTTAAAAAACTTGATGGTAGGTGCTAGGTGCTGCTGCACTAGTATGCACTATACTGGTATAAGTAAAATAAAATTGAGGGTTGCCATGGTCCAACCCCGCTCCCACCAAGGTTCGTCACCGAAGATAACGCTCCTCTCCTACGAGCTGCTTGATGAATTATTGTCTTCTCTATGTCGTTATTGTCGGATCTTCTTACTGAGCCACAACAATGACTATTATTAAATTATCGTTTGCATATACATGTATTTCATGTTGACTTTTTTACATTCCAATAAACATATGGGTCATGCTAATTAGTGCTCTTAGGATAAAAGTTAAAAATTTCAAATAAAGAAAATATGTTATATTTAATTCACTTAATACACACAATATTCTTTAAAAAGTCTGATTATTTCTCTTTTCACGACGTTGAATACACATATATTTAGAAGAAAAAAAATATTTTCAATCTCTTAAATAATACTCAACTTACCATTTTAATCTCTTAACTAATGTCCTGAGGACACTCGTTAGCATTTCCCTTGAGAGGGAAAATTGTAGTAAATGCATTTAAAAAATTGCAGAATATCTTATCTTATATTTATAAATAAATAAGACTTATTAAACAGTCTAATAATTTTCTCAATCTATCAAATAAACTAATGTCTCACACTCAATTTAGAAGGAAGTGAAACAATGAATCTCGCGAGTTTTGTCCAAATTGTGCATAGACATGAACAGTCACGTTTTTTTATAAGATAACCCACCATCTAAAAAGTTTCTTTGAAACATAGATATGATACTTTTTAATAGAAGAAAAATAGAGATTTACAAATTATTTTTCAAAAAAATATAGAACAGAATGATGCAATCCAATTTACTACCACCCTTGGAATTCTGATTCTTTTTTAAAATGTAAAAAATAGCACTTGATTCATGTTTGACCCTAAAAAGCTTCAACTGAGACACTTTGTTTTTCTTTCTTGGTCTGTTTACCCTATTAGCTAGAAAGGTGGAGTGGACACCATTATGTCTGTCCTCTGGTGAGCAAAGTATCCCACAGAGATCTTCTCTCCCTTTTTAATTACACCACTTGTCTTTTTCATTCAACACTCCTAACCCTTGTCTATCTTCAAAAGTAAAAGCTGCTGCTATACTACTACTTATTTGCACTCTTGTTTTCTTTTTCTTTTCCTTTGCTTTGCCTCCTATATATTCATCCATTTTTACCCTGCAACATTTTATCACAGAAAAAATTGAGAATGAGAAAATAACAAGGATTTATCCATTCGCAAAATGAAATTATGTAAAAGAATGACATGATAAGATTTGATTTTTGGTACAATCAAATTGTAGTTGGTAAATATATATATTTGGAATGATCTGGTAATATTTCCTTGTCTTGTTTTTTTGGACATGTGGTTGGCTACCTGAGTCCGTGACATAACTTTTTGTTTTGGTATTTTCTTCTTAAAAAATTCTGTCTTGTCTTGTTGTCCCCATATCATCATTCCCTTGCTAAATTAACAGAGTTCTAAATCCTGCTGACCAATTTCAAATCCTTTTCAACTGCCCCCCCAATTTTCTTTATTTAGTCAAAAATTATGAAAAGTTAATTTTCATCTATGCAAAGAGATAGATCATTTTCATCTTGGTTGTTAAAGAGATTGTTAAAGACAGCATAAACCACAAGGAAACTAATTCAGTCAAATCACCTAAATACCCTCATCAATACCTTTTTGTATAATGATATTAAATAGTCAACCACTCTACACACCATAATTAAAACAAAAACTAAAACAAACCGGCCACAGCTTTATGACATGAGAAGCACCTTTTCAGGACTACGGAAAAAACTTTGGGGGGTGCCCCGCCATAATCTAATTCTTTATGATCAAAATAACATCTTTCAAGTTCCCACCTTGCCCTTTCCCTTTTTGAACTAAATGACCAATATGCCCTTTCCTAATACTACTAACATTGAGTGTCGGTGGCCCGACAATACTTATGTTCTTTCATTCTATCAGACCACATAACAACAATTGCCCGCCTAACCATTTTATAATTCTATAATGTACTGATGAGGAGACAAGTTACATAATTTCACGTCCATGAACATGAGTACACAGAAGCTGACAAATTCTTTCAATTCAATTCTTAGCTATTATGATTAAAATAAATGCAGTAGCTATTATGATTAACCTGTGTGGATTTTCTCATCTTTTAAAGACATCCACAAGTTAGGGGATTGATTACCAAAGACAGTGCTTGTATTGTGTTTCATTACCAGTCTGTTAAAGTTTCAATGTGCGATAGAACTTAGAACCACAGTTTGTTCTGGTGGGTCTGATACTCATAAATGTGTTTGAATGGATTAGAGGTGAAAACAATAGGTACAATGTGTTCACCATTTTTCACCCATCAACAGAGTTTCCACAGACATATCATAAAAGTTGAATTGTCATCTGATTATTGCATTGAACAAATAAATTTAGAATCTAGAAAACGGTACTAGTTGAGCAATGTAGGGCATGTTAGTGTTTTCTGTCAACAAAAATAATATCTGAATAGTATTTTCACTGTTTTATCTACTATTTTAATTTTAATAAAGAGGCTTTCACCTTAGTAATTAAATACTAATAACTCAAAGGGTCCACTAAAAAACATTATTTGAAAAGATGTCTGTAAATTATTAAATTTCTGATAAAAACAAAAAACAAAACAAGAATTAAGTGCTTACCATCTTTAGAGGTTTGGGTATGGGCTTCTAGAGTTCTAGGTGGGTTTTGGAGTAGCTTGTTTGAACGCAACAGTGGGAGCTATTCTGCAGCTCCTCCTCTGATGCTCTTGAACAAGTTCTCCAGCAAGCCAATCGAGTTTCTGGAAATTACTCTGCTCCCCAATCTTCTTCCCTCCAAACAGAACTGATTCTACATTTTCCTGCTTCAGCATTCCCTCTGCTATTCCCATCAACATTTTAACATTGCTCGGACTTGCATCTGTATCCCCACTAGGTCCACATTGCGCCATACTCGACCCATTTGCCTGTCATGTTCATCCAACAATTACGCCGCTTAGATATAGATCAATTCATGCATAATTCAGGCCCAGCATAATAAACTCAAAATCACAATTCCACATCAATTTATAATGGGATTTTTGTTAGTTAACCAAAAAGTTATTTCAGTACACATAACTCAAGTAACGGAGTATATCATCAAATCAAATTCAACTATTCAAGTAGGTATAAGGAACCAAATGAAATTCAATTCTATGGAACTAGCACTTCCTTGATCCTAAACACAGAAAACAACACATATCCACTTCATTTCTGTGGCAGACAGTAAACAACACCACATCATTCCATGCTATATCTAACTAATGACCAAAACCATGGTCCAACAAAATTAAAAAAAGTTTCCTAAAATCATAACACATTCTTCTGGACCAAAAACAGACAACATTAATTAACATCAAAACACATTCCCAAACAAGTCCAAATCCAGCTATCTAACCCCATACATAGCCTTCAACTTGCTACATACAGACAAGGCAAAAGATATCCCTATGATGCAAGCCCCACACCCCCTTTCTCTCTTGCTGGTATGAAATTGACTCAACTTAATTCCCTCTAACTTTTATCAATTCAACATCAACCAAAAACTGTAGCAATCAAATAATAATATGGTAAATTGAATTTTTACAGCATTTAATCATGATCATACCTGAATTCGAACGTAATTAGTACTCCGGCAATGCCCAAACGCCATCGCAACAGCCTGATCAACAAGGTCCGCCGAGGCGTCGCTCGAAATACGGGCCATCGGCCGGGCCCAATCCTTAGCCTTCCAGCGATTAACACGATCAAAATCACACTTGACTTCAACGAGTTGACCGGTTCCAAGTGAAAGCACAAGAAGATCCTCCACGCCTCGCACGAACGGAAACTCCTGTTTATTGTGTAGCACGTGCGTGATGGCCGCACCCGTTGGGTTACTCATCGCCAAACCACCATCAACCGCCACGCATTTGGTTTGTCCATCAACAGACCGCATTTGAACCGGTTCTAATAAACCCGGTTCAGCCGAAGTCGCTCTACACACTTCCCACAAACGAAAATCAAAGCTATCCGTTTCCAAAGCGTCGGCACGCGAGAACAAAAACGGCGCCGTACTTGACAAATCATAACACGGTATCAAAACCGGTTTCAGCGTATCTTTCAACGTTAAACAACGACCGTTCTCCGCCGTAAAAGCTTCTTTAACGGTTTTCTCCATACCGGCAGTCGCCGTTTCAACTGAACTCGAACCGCCACTTCCGAATAGTCTCTTTAAAAACCCGCGGCTTCCGGAGCTTCCGTAGAATTTCTTCCCTTGTTCGGCTAATAGCCGCCATGTATCATCCGCTGAGTAAATCGGTCGTTGTTGATCTTTTGTCGCAAACAGCATCGCAATGAAAATACCTCCAACGCCGGAGCCAGTTGCGACGTCGAAATAATCCGCGATTCTCGCGTTCTGGTCACCTGATTTTTTCTTCAACGCGTTTTCAAGATATGCCAGCGCTTTTCCGGCGAGAATCCCACGCATGCCACCACCGTCGATTGCGAGTATACATATCTTTCCACGCTGATTCTTAACGGAGGAAACTCCGTCAACGGAAGCAACAGTCGGAGTTTGTTGAGAATCCATACCAGTAGGAGGTATTTGCTTAGGAAACCAGAGCTTCTGTTCATCGTAGCCAAAGAGAAACTTGCTTTCGAGAATAGAGAAAATTTCGTAGCTGAGCTTATCCGTTTCAATACTGGGTTCTTGCATTTCAAATTGATCACTAGAATCCATTTAGTTTTCAATTTTAGTTTCCAAGAAAAGCGATTATTGTGCGTTTGTTTGTTGCATGAGGTTTGTTATATAATCTAGAAAAATGACCTAGGAACTGACGCCAATAGAAAAAGAAAACAAACTGATGGAGGGAAAGAAAATTAAAACATTTATTTTTCTTTTGTTTACTAGTAGTAGCTTTTTGAGTTTGAAAAATTGATTTGAAAAAGCATAGAGTTTGGAAAGAGTGAAATAATGAAATGTTAAGTTTAGTAGAGTTGAACAGTGAAAAACTAATTGTGAGAAAGATAGAGGAATGAATGAATGGGATGCTAGAAAAAGAGAAAGTGAGTCAAAAGGTACCGTTTTGCACTCTAAAATCCCACTCTTATGTGTATGTCTGTTCCTTTTGCCGAAAGTAGCTAAGCTAGGCGTTCTCTATGTATGTAAACATCAAACGCAACCAACCAACCAACAAACAAGCACCGAACAAAACCAGAAAATGCCAAATCACAACAGCTAGATGCACCACCAATCACCATATCTAAATATTATATACTTTTTACTTTTTTTACTACAATGACCATGATATGATTCACTCACTAATGTGAAAGGACAAATGTGTAATTTCGCCTTCGAGGGACAACCTGTGGGTCCCACAATAAAACTCTGTTTTTGCAATTAGCTTTGCCAATCACTCACCGACGCTTGTACAGAGTCAATTTTGCTATTTGTGTCGTAATTCGTTAACGTTCCCATCCTTCATCAACGTTCCAATTTTGCATTTTCTTCCATCTAGATAGACTTGCATAATACTCTATAACGTAGGGGGTAAAGGACGACTTATTCTTGGCCAAACCCTGCCGTAAATTTTCGTATGCCGTTTTTTAGGACAATCGTGCCTAAGTCTTTTGGTTTACCATCCTATTTAGGATTGAGTTTATTTAAAATGAAATTGAGTTATTATTCAAAGTCTTCTTTGCTCTCATAATATATGTTTTTTCTTTTAATTATTTATTTTTTAATATATTATGGGGATATTTTTTATTTCTTTTCATCAACTTACTTTTATTTATTACTCTTTTATAATCGCATAGTTACCCAACTATCTATTATGTATTAATAAGATTATTTTGATAAATGATATTTGTTTTATCATTTAAATCAATTCAATTTATTATTATCTTAAAATTTGTAAAAATGATATTCGTATTAATGTAGTTTATTTAATGGATCAATATTTTCATCTAATAAATGAGTTTTTTTTTGTTTAAATTCTAGTAATCTCTTCAAGTCTTAACAATTAGTGTTTTTATTGATAATCGGGTCACTTGAAATGAACAACTTTATCATTTGTTCGAGTTAAAAAAATACATGTAATATGAAGAGAAGTTGGCAGCCAGCATAGCTATCTTTAAAAGAAATATCGTAGAGTCAAGCAAGAGGGCAAGCGAGGAAAATTAGCAAGGAGGTGATTAAAAATATGAATTTTGTAAAGAAACTCGTTTCAATAAAGAAGGGAAATGAGTATTGTCATCAAGATATCAAGACTATACCCCTTTGAACACTTTGAGGGAGCGTATTCTACAAAAATGCATTAATGCTGAATTCAAAGAAAAGTAGGTAGAGACGCCAAAACCTATTTGTGAACGTCCTGGAGTGGACAAATCTCAGTATTACCGTTTCCACTTTTTGAAACATGCCATAAAAATACCTAACTAGTAAAGGGAAATTGTCGAGATTCGTTCACCACGACAAGAGTATATCCAAAGAAAAAGGAGTGGAGGACGACAACCCGAGAAAAAGAAATAATGTCACATAGGTTGGCAAAAAAGAAAAACAGACATACAAAGAAGGAGACAATTATCTACCCATTGTGTATGCGATGGCAAAAGGGTTATTCAGGGAGTGAGAGAACTTACCCATTCTTATGTGCATTGAAGAAGGTTCATACAAATCAGAGGTGATAGCCCCGAAGGAACAAGTGAATTTTAAAGAAAATGACTTAATTGAACTATTGAACCAAATTACTTTTGGTATGGGAGCACTGAGCACGACTAAGTTCATCTTTAAAGGATTTCTTCATTTAGAAATAGCTTCTTGTAATTCCATAAAGAGGAAATTGAGTGAAATGATGTTGTGGGACCAAGAAGCCACGAAAAGAGAAAACGAAAAGGGAAGACTCCCCAAGTCATTCTATGATAAAGATCTTGTTAATAGAGTCCAAATTTCTCATATTTCTTTGTTGATTGGAGTTGTAATGGCAAGCTATGACGTGTAGAAAATTGAAGTAGATCAAGGGAGATTTTGCGATATAATGTATGTTGACTTGTAGAGAAATTTCAAATATCCTATGAAAATCTCGCCTTGTATAAGGGAAACAACCTCTAAGGATAATCGTGCCTAAGTCTTATGGTTTACCGTCTTATTTAGGATTGAGTTTATTTAAGATGAAATTGGGGTACTATTCAAAGTCATATAAGATACTTCTGTTTTCTTTTAATTTTTATTTGTTTCAATTTTTAAAAAAAATATATTATGTGATAGTTATTATTTCTTTCCACTAACTTACATTTATTTATTACTCCTTTAAAATCATGTAACTACTCCACTATCTGTTACTAATAAAATTATTTTGATAAATGATATTCATTTTATCATTAAAATTAATACAATTTATTGTTATCTTTTTTTATCAAATCATTATCTTAAAAAAATGTAAAAATAATATTTGTATTAATGTAGTTTATTTAAAGGATTGATATTTTAATCTAATAAAGGAGTTTTTTTGTTTGGATTCTAGAAATATCTTTAAGTATTAACAATTAGCATTTTTATTGACAATCGAGTCACTTAAAATGATTTTTTTTAACATTTGTCCAAGCTATACAAAGTACATATAATATGAAGAGAAGCTGACAGCTAGCAAAACCATCTTTAAAGGAAGTATATGTTGCTACGCGAAAAATAACCGGCAAAGACATAAATTTGCCATTGAGCTTTATTTATTCTAACAGGAAAAGAAAAACATCGAGAAAATCTCAGAAGGGAGAGAGCATGATCACACAATTAAATTTGAGGCTCGGGAGTCGATTACGCGAGAGGAAGGTATTAGCACCCCTCGCGTCCGTTGTACTCAACGAGATGCACTCTTGTTGTTCTAATCAAAGGGTGAGTATATCTAAAGCTTACCTAAGGGAATGCTTGAATGAAAAAGGAAAACAAAAGGGGACTCTCCGGGATCTCGAAATCCCGTGCCTATGTATTTCCTTGTGTAATGAGAAAGTCAGAGCAATCGTAGTTCGGAGGACTACGGCAAAAAGGAAGGTTGCTCGCCAAGAATTAGGGCCCTTGTGCCTACGTATTCTCAACATGAATGAGAAATCAGAGCGTCCGTAATTCGGATAACTATAGGCTGTTGGGTGTTTTTTATGGACGATGATAACGTTCGCGTTCTAACAGTTAGGTTTTGCCGCTCACACGAGAGGAGACTTACGCTTTAGCTTGTATTGTGGTAGAACAGAAATAACACGCCCTTTTTGAAAATGGTTTTGAAGAGAAAATCCCAAAGGATAAAAGATTTAGATTTGTTGAAGTGTTTTTGTTAAGGTTTTGAAAAGAGTTTGAGATGCGTATTATAATAAAGTTTATGACAATAGGAGCGACTATTTTGTACAAATGATCCAAACGTCTCACATACAAAGTACTCTAAGAAGAGGTAAGGAAAACTCCCACACATCTTTTCCCATGTGCTTAAGGTACGTGACGTATTATACACATCGTATTTATTAAGTATTTTGGATTTTGACGCAAGAAAAGAATATTAATATCACTTTTTGAAACATGCCATAAAAATACCTAACTAGTAAAGGGAAATTGTCGAGATTCGTTCACCACGACAAGAGTATATCCAAAGAAAAAGGAGTGGAGGACGACAACCCGAGAAAAAGAAATAATGTCACACAGGTTGCCAAAAAAGAAAAACAGACATACAAAGAAGGAGACAATTATCTACCCATTGTGTATGCGATGGCAAAAGGGTTATTCAGGGACTGAGAGAACTTACCCATTCTTATGTGCATTGAAGAAGGTTCATACAAATCAGAGGTGATAGCCCCGAAGGAGCAAGTGAATTTTAAAGAAAATGATTGAATTGAACTATTGAACCAAATTACTTTTGGTATGGGAGCACTGAGCACGACTAAGTTCATCTTTGTATGTGAGGACAATACTCTGGACGCAGTCCATTCTCAAACTTTAAACACTTAGAAGTCATCGCCCCCTCAATATTGTAGTGAGGACAATACTGCACCAGCTCCTCAAACTTAGCAGCGTACTCTGCTACCGTCATACTACCCTGCTTCAGCTCTAAGAATTCAATCTCCTTAGCACTTCGAACATCTTCCGGAAAATACTTTTCCAGAAAACCTTTCCGAACCACCTCCCAAGTAATGGCAGTTCCAGCAGCTTCCAATCTTTGGCGACTGTTGTCCCACCAAGCTTCAGCTTCGCCCTCCAGCATGTGAGTACCAAACCTCACCTTTTGCTCATCACTAAAATCCATAGTCCTGAAGATTTTCTCGATTGCCTTCAGCCACTTCTGTGCAGCTTCAGGATCCAGAATTCCTCCTTCAAACGTCGGCGACTTGTTGCTCCGAAACTGCGCCAAACTCTTGAATTGGGCATCTGCAGTTTGGTTCTGATTAGAAACTGCCTGCGTCATTGCTTGCATAGCAGCAGCCAACGCAACATCGTTCCTTCCTGCCATACTACTAAAAAATAACAACACCAGGTTAAAAGATACTCAACTCTATCCTAAAGGACAGACTCAACTCGACTCAACAACACTGGCCGGACGGACCGACCTGCTCTGATACCAATTGTAACACCCCACTTCCCAAAACAATTAAAATAATAAACATTATAAATATACATCAGAGTATTTCTTCCCAAGTGGGATATCACATAGCAAAACCAACATTTCCTTATAAAAAGGTTTTCTCCAAAATATAGCGGAAAATAACAAAATAGTAAAATCCAACAAAGTTTTTTTGATACGTTCACAGGAAATAAAATACAAGTTCAACAGAAGGCAACTAAAAACATCCAAGTCCCGTGCTATGTATCAGAGCATCCTAGACTCGACTGGCACACCATAATCCAAGTTAGCTAAGTACCTGGATTATTTGTACTTCCGGAGAAGCACAGACCACAACAACAACAAATGGGTGAGAAAACATGATTAAAATATATTGGTAATTTAATACATGCAAATAAGGTAGTAAAACACACCAATATTCACCCCACAACACCAATCATCGAACCTACTATTCAAATTACAATATAACATATTATAATGCAAATATGCAACTCAATACCAAGCATGCAGTACCGACTCATTGGTTCATTCAATCGAACCCTGGACAGATCACTTACACTCCTACTGAGATATGATCTATCCCCGACAGATCACTTACGCTCCTACTGAGATATGATTTATCCCCGACAGATCACTTACGCTCCTACTGAGAGATGATCTATCCCCACCATTCTCCACAAAGGAGTACGGATGAATCACATACACTCCTCCTGAGCAATGATTCATCCCACCAAACACCAAGATATGTACGACACCAATGCACGACAACAATGCACGACAAACAAACTCAAGCACACTAAGTGCACACGATCCTCCTGATCACATCACCACACATTATATATATTACACCACCAATAAACACAAGCACACTAAGTGCACAACAATTAAACTCAAGTAAATAATCAATAAATCATTTCAATCGATCCATGGTTTAGTTACTATTTAATTAAACAATGACTCCCCAAAAATATTGGATATACAAATATTTGGAAAATAACTATATTATTTATACCATGTTATAGATCTATTCAAGAGCTTTCCAACGCTTCGAACAGGGACTAAATCTGACTTACGGATCAAAAGTTATGGCCAAAATCGTCAAAACAGACAATTCACCAATATACAGCTTTGAGTCGACGCAAACAGCGCAGAATGCAGAAAATTCTGTGTTTTCCACCGTTGGAGGCCTTCCGGACCTCCGATTTCAATTCCGTAAAAAGCCCCAGTTTCAGAATTCGAAATACTACCATAATATGACAATTATAACAGCCAACAACATATTTTATAGATCATATCATCATATATCATATAACCATACTTTTCAACACCATGGAATTTAGGGGTTTCTATCCTAAATGTGATCCTACCCATCATACATTATCACACAATCTCCATGATCATACGAAAACCCACCCTTACTGCCCGGAACTATTATCTTGCTCAAATTCAAGCCTATTTCTCCACTTCTATCTCTTGTCCTCTCGGAACCTATTTCATACTGATCGTTATTACTACAGAAATTATGTCGGATTTCACCAATCTCATAACAGCAAATACACCACTCTATCAGTATCAGCAACAATCATCATACTCTACTCTAATCAATTGTTCCTTAAACTATATCTCAGAACCCATATCATGGTCATTACCCAAGCCACAGAGGTTACACAAAATCTCACCAATACTCATGGTCATTATCCAAACCACAGAGGTTATACAGGAACTCACCAACATCATAATAATGTACGAATTTCATCACCATCAACAACAACAGCAACAGGCATAATGTCATAAATTCGTGTTCATCACTAATATTACAGAAATTGCACAGAACCCCACAATCATCATAAAATGTATGCACAAAACTCTTCAATCACAGCAACATTCATAAACACAGACATAATATCATATATCAATCATAATCATCAAATTCCTACGGGGTTAAGGAATCCCCTCTACCCAATTTCATGCATTATACCAATCCCAATCAGTTTCTCCCCCTTACCTGGATAATTGATTTAATCGGTGAAGGAATCCTCCAAGGTTGGTCAATTCTGACCCTCTGCCTTCTTCTCCGTTCTTCGCTATCTTCCTTCGCTCTTCTCACTTCTATCGTATATTTCTCTCTTCTCTCTTTTCTATCGTATCTTCCTAACCATTTCAACTACTATTTTCCTTTTTATTTCCAATCCCAACTAATAATAATAATAAAATATAATATTACTAAATATTAATAACAATAACCATAATAATAATAACAATATTATTATCTCACCAATAATCCTAATAATATAATAACCATATTAATAATAATATTATATTCTCCATATTAATAATATTACTACTACTACTAATAATAATAATAATAAAATAATAATAATAATACCGCCATATTACTACTATTTATTATATTATTATATCCACACCAAAACACCACCAATAATCCTCCCATATCAGGGACACCCACCAATCATCATCAAACACAATCCCCACCAAAGGGCACACAAACATATAATAATTAAAATAATAATAAAATGACTAAATAATTAAAATGGGTGTTACACCTACCTCGAATCCAATGGGGTTCATGCCAATCCCTAGTCCTGCTGGCGTTCAAAGGCTTGGTGTAGGATCAATTTCGCCTCCCAGTCCACCGCAACCGCAATCTATGCAACCTGCTGCTGCACCGACAGCTCCACCACCTACTGTGCAGACTGCTGTTACTTCAAAAGTACCTGGTAATGTTTCTTTATTTTTTCAGCGACTTTGAATTTTTCTTTGAAAGAAAATACTAGCTAAATGTACTGATGTTTATTTTATGAGTCAAAAAGCATTTGTCTTGAATAATGATATGTATTTCACTTATCACGTGTTCCTTGTCTTATTCTATTTTGACTTTAACTCTTGCTTTTACTATGTCAGTACACCAAATGCCTATTATTACAACATTGACAAGACTTTTTAATGAGACATCAGAAGCACTCGGAGGTTCACGTGCAAACCCAGCAAAGAGGCGAGAAATAGAAGACAACTCAAAGAGACTTGGTGGGTTGTTTGCTAAGTTGAATAGTGATGACATCTCCAAAAATGATTCTGATAAGCTCCTTCAGCTTTGTCAAGTGTTAGACAATGGTGATTTTGGTACTGCACTTCAAATTCAGGTAAGTCAATTGAATTGCAAATTCTAGCATCAACCTAGTTGCGTCGTACTCGTAACTATGCATCAAACTTACATTTTAATTGCTTTACTTACGTGTTGCAGGTTCTTCTCACTACTACTGAATGGGATGAATGCCAGTCCTGGTTAGGTTCACTGAAGCGTATGATCAAGACTAGGCTGAATGTCAGGTTAAGTTAAAAAAAGATTTTGTTAGTCGCAACATTTTGTTCGAGTCACGAAAGCTTATTTCTTATTTATATTCGGTTGATTCTTTGGTTGAGAATGATAAATGTATGTCATTCACATGATCTTTGGTTGTTTTACTCTTTACTTATGTGATGTTGTTGCTTTTAGTTTATTCAAATCAAACTTGCTGTCTTTTAGGTTAATATTTGGGTTGTTATGGTTCTGCGGATTCATATGTGAGAAGGTTGAACTGTGAAGTAGACATTCATATGTTTGTACACTACACTACAAAAATATATTAGTGTTGTAGTATTTGATGATGTTATTAGATTAATTGAATTTCGATTGAGCATTTTTGTCGCTTGCGCGAAAATAAGGTGCCGGCATGACAAAAGAGTCGCCACCTTTCGTTATTTATCCCTCAGAGCGGGAAAGGAAACGATCGGAAAAACCTGACGAAAGAGGGTAAGACAAGGTCATCGCAACCATTGTCTGGGTTCGGGAGTCGGTTACGCAAGGGGAAGGTATTAGCACCCCTCACGTCCGTCGTACTCGACGGGATCCACGCTTGTTTGTTTACTTGAACGGGTTGGTTTTATTCTATCTACCTATCAAGGCTGGCTGAAAAAGAAAAGAAAAATGACTCGGCAAAGTGTCGCGCTTTATGCCTACGTATTCTCATCAGAGAATGAGAAATCAGAGTCAACGTAGTTCGGCCTACGAAGGATTATGGGGGAAGGTAGCTCGCCAAGACTTCGCCATCTTGTGCCTACGTATTCTCAACAGGTATGAGAGATCAGAGCTCACGTAGTTCGGGAAACTACGGTTTATTTCCTGTTTTGAAAGAAGTGCTTTTTATTGTGTTTGCGATTTCAACCGCACTAGAGACTATGACCTGAGAGTGAATGTGTCGCATGTCACCCAAAGGGTACCATACTAAACATCCAGACTGTGGCAAAGAAGCTCTCCCACAATCCTTTCTCAGATAGCTTAAGGCTCGTAACGTACGAAAGAAATCATTCATGATTACTTTATCTTAAACTGTTTTGAGATGAGAAGAGAACAGGCCCAACTAGGAGGGAGACTATCAAGTCCTACTGTTATCATGCCATGGATTCATCCTATGGTTGAGGTTTGAACAGGGAACTCCTAGAAGCTGTCATGCATAGGTTTCAACCTAAAAGTCTATCATCAAATCCTTATCAAAGGAAATGAGAGTCCTAAGGGATCATGTCAATGATACACCAAAACAGACAAAGCATCAGCTTAACAGTAAAATGCATGCAATGCAAGTGAGGGAGGAAATGTGTGTGAGGCTTCAGCCTCCACAAGCTCGTCTCAACCTCAAGCCAGTCATGAAATAACAGTAATCATACTGAAAAATAAACAACATGCTATCAAGCAATAAACAGTAAACTGCAGTCATACAGATAAAAGAAATGAAGTGCCATCAGGCAAACAAACCACATGCTTGAGAAAGAAATTATCTACATCTAAGCTCTCCCTAATCCTAACCCTAAAACAAAACCCTAACCAGATCTCTAAGCAAATCCCTAAAGCAAAACCCCAATTAAAAGAAATCAATCCCAGTCTTCAAGCCTCAAAACAAGCTTACCAAAGAAAGGGAGCTAAGTAGGCAGACTCATAGTGCCCTCCTCAAGAAAGCACTAGGAGGCTTATACTCAGGAATCATATCCTATGTGGCTCAACAACTGTGATAGGTTTACATTCCTCCTCAGGAGAAACTAAACTCACATGAAGGCTCCGACATCATTGGATACTTAAGAAATCCTAGATGAACTAAGGGAACTAAGTGAACAGACCCATAGGACCTTCCTCAGGAAAGTACTAGGGGACCTCCACTTAGGAATCGTATCCCATGTGGCTCAACAACTGTGATCAGTTTACGTTCCTCCTCAGGAGAAACTAAACTCACATGAAGGCTCCAACATCATTGGATACTTAAGAAATCCTAGATGAACTAAGGGAACTAAGTGAACAGACCCATAGGACCTTCCTCAGGAAAATACTAGGGGACCTCCACTTAGGAATCGTATCCCATGTGGCTCAACAACTGTGATCAGTTTACGTTCCTCCTCAGGAGAAACTAAACTCACATGAAGGCTCCAACATCATTGGATACTTAAGAAAGAGGTGAGAAGAAAGAATGAAAGGTATCCATAGTGCCTTCCTCAGGAAAGTACCATGAATTTCCCTCAAACTTCAGGATCTCAAACCTCGCAGACAGAGAACAAGCTCCAACCTCTCACCCTCTGGGTCTTGATCTTCAATCCTCTCCTTCATCATGCTCCTTCAACAAGGTCTTCAAAGCAAACCAAGCCCAATAACAATTCCCCAAAGATAAACCCCAAAGACAGACACTCAACACAAAACATGCCACACAAACAGTCCTATTCAGAAAATACTTTGAAAATACTAAAGAAAGGGGGAAAAATCTAACATTTATTCACAAGGGTCCATAACACCTACCCATAACATACCTATAATCCCATACCCAAAAATCAAGTCAAAACTCTTACAAGAAAATGATTTACTTCACCTATGCTAAACCTAAACCCTAATCTGGATCCCTAATGCTAACCTAATTAAACTAATGAAATTTTAATCTAAAAATCATGAATTAAATCCTATGGGAACTAAGGCTCAATATCTAATCATATTAAAAAGAATGGACCAAAAAGCCTAAGGGAAAGTCCTAAAATAAATTCTACAAAATTGAGTATCAAACTAAACCTTATAAAAAGCTATTTAAAAGAATAATATTCTAAAAATACTAAACTAAAAATAAAATGGAATTTTTATTTTTATTAATTTTCTAGACAAAATTATAAACCTATAGAAAAAACAAGAAATGAAAAATATCTATTTTTGGATTTTATATGATTTATTTACAAACAAGAAAATATGAAAGAAAAACAAAATAAAAGAAATGAATAAAATTGGGGGGGGGGGGGGGGGTGTAACAATGAATGGCGCCCAGTTGGTTGTGTTATTGGGCTGAGAAGGTGGGGTGTGAAAATTAAATGAGTTAAGCCCAGTTATTAGAATTCAGATTAAAAGAAAACTAGAGGGCGCGTGGGGTGCATTAAGTGATGTTTTTCACGTGTTATTTAGAATGGGCCTTAATTGGAGGTGTGGATAACAAGATTTTACTGAGCCCAGGTCTTCCATTTAAGTAAAACGACGCGTTTTACTTCTTAAAACTCCCTCCGTTTTTCATGTTCAAATGAGGGCCGTTAGATTGTATTAACAAGTCAATTACTCAGAGTGATCCAAGGGCTGTGGGTCATCGTCCCAAACAAGCCATCTAGGGTTTTCAGTTCACGCGGTTTATGCATGGATTTTCTCTCCAATCGTTCTCCCTGGTTACTCGATGAAATTGAAAAATTCCAAAAGCAAAGATGTACCACTAATCACCAAGAACATGGTTCTAACAATAGTTTTCATTAAAGCCTCATGTATCATCCAAACAGAACGCGTGAAAGTTAGGGTTCCGACATTTTCTTCTGAGATCAACCTTGATTAACCCTAATTCTAAAGATGCAATTATGTTCTACATGTTACACTAACCATTCTAAACCATAACATGACCATTTAAACCCTACATACAGCCTGTTCTTCAACTTGCAAGAAATGGCACCCTGCCATGAAACTCCATAGATCTTCCTCTAATCCTCAGAAATTAATCAACTAACCTAGCATGTTCATTCTATACCTAGGAAACTAACAGAAAACATATAAATAAGGAGGTATGAGGAGAGAACAAAACCTGTCAAATGGTGATGGTAGAGGTGTGAACAGATGGATTCAGAGCTTGAATCCTCTTCTCTATGATCCTCAAGTATCAATCTCCTTTCTGTTTGCAATAACCTTGATGATGAGTGCTTGTAATGGAAGATTCGAGTCTTGCTTGCAATTGAAGATTTATTTGAATATCTCTTTCTCCTCTCACTCTCTCCACCAATCTTGCCAACCCCTCTCTTCATTGTGATCCACTTGATATATAACAATCAATGGAAGAATCTAGAACCTCCTAGAAAGCACTAGAAAGTCATGGAATTTCTCATGTAGTGACATGTTGGATATCTCATATCTCATGCATTAAGACCTTAATTTTGTGCCAAAATCTCCCCTTGTGAGATATTGAAATGGAATGTGCAAAAAAACCAGCTCATCCTTGCCTTATGTGAAGTTTTCCAAAGGTTCCTTATTATGCAAGTAACAACATTACAAAGTAACCCCCATTTTTAGACCTCAAATCAAAAATGTATTTAAACCATTGTTTTTAAAATGATGTTTGGATTCAAAATGACATATTGGATGACCTATTTTGGATTCATAAATCTCCCAAACCAATTTCCAACTTGGATCCATTTAAGTTATAAGCCATTTTTAGGTCATTTTCACCCATTCTTGTCAATCCTTGCTACAAGCTTTTCCAACAACTCATGACCACTTTTCTAGGCTTAAAATGCCATTCTGAACAACTTTGATGTTTTGAGTTTTTTCATTTGAGGTTTGGAAATAGGAGATATGGCCTTTGCTTAAAATGACCTATAACTTCCAAATGACCAAAATACCCCTGTCTTGTTCAAACCATAAGTTGAGTTCTACAAATCCTATCAAGGACTTCTAGTACTTTCTAGAAATATAAGAAAATGCTCTTCAACATTCATGTTGACCAAGAGATCATAGGAATCATCCTACTAGGGCAAAAGTTGTCTGCAAGTTGGGTGACTTTCAAGGACCCAGATTCACATACCTCAGATGACCTGTAATTTGTCAAAGCCATAACTTGAGCTCTTCAAATCCTATCAAGGACTTCTACCACTCAAATTAAAGCTAAGAACAAGCTCTACAACATTCATGTTGTGGGGAAGAAGAGATGACAATCACATCTTGAGATAAAACTGCCTGGAAGATGGGGATCAAATTAGGGTTTTTTCACTGTCCATCCTTAGAAACCCTGACTTAAAACTTCTCAAACTCCT